TTACCAAAGAAACATATTTCCATAAAGAATTGTTATATACAATATAAAATTAAAATTAATTTGTAAGACATTAAGAAAAAAATTACAAACATCTCAAAAAAAACTCCAAATGCAGTATGACATAGTTAACATCTCAGATTTTCAGGTGCCTATTTAATCTTAAAAATATCTTTTTTATATGCTGAGAAGAGATCAAAGATAGAGGATCTTAATGTTTATTGCACACTTAATTTTGTATTTATTCTTTAAAAGGTTTACATCAAATTTAAGGTTTGCTTGTAAATTTAGGTAAATACTTTTTAGGAAAAATAAAACCAGGAATGAAGGGTAATTTAACTATTTAACCTTTATATGTATGAGCAACAAGATATCATTATACTCTAATGATAATGTATATTAATTAACACAGAAAATTAAAACACGCAGACAAGAAAGCCCATTTATCATATCAAGTTGTCAAATTTGCTGAAATATTGGCATGTTTACTTACTGATGCTGCTGTTCATTTTATATATAATTGCAACTTAACCTAAAATATTTATTTTCCATATAATATGATGAATTCTTGAAAAGTACACCAACAACTTATTCTTAGATTTAGATGACAACTAGTCAAAATTGGTCCATATAACTGCTTTTCTTTTTTTAAAAAAAGGGCAAAGTGAATAAGCCTTTCATCTTTAATTAACACTTAATCAATAACAGACTGCGTAATAATACAGAAAAATAAGTACTGATGCTATCCACTAATGAATTGTTATTTGTAATCATGATCAGTTCTCATCAACTTAGTTCAGTTTTAAAATATTGTAACATAAAGTTTATGTAGAAAATGGATGTTTGTAAACTGGCGAGAAAACATTGACGTGGAAAGGTGTCCTCTCTCATCTTGCACAATCCTATAACTGAAGCTTGGCAAATGGAAGCTTTCTGTTCTGATTTGCCTATGGCCACCAGCTTAAGAAATCAGAACCAGAGCAATGGTCTTTTTAATGCACCACTATTTTGCATGATAAGGTTCTAACTGTAATGTTTACATAACAGATCCTAGTAGGTAATACAATAATGATGAACAGCATTTATTTCAAAAGTTCAGTAAAAGACCAGCAGGCTCCTGAGCATAATATACTTTACAGCGTTACCTTGTTGCGCAACAGTACCGCGTCTGACTCCATTATATACTTTACAGTTTATAAAAAAACCTAGTATGATTTATATTAATAGTAAAAGTATTAGAAAAGTAGTAATACTATAGATTTTGGGAGTATATATTAAGTAATATCAATTCAAGCTTTTTACAAAAACAAAGTTATTCAATCCTTCATTTTGCCAACAGTATTATAGCTGACATTAGTTTAGGCACAAAATCTTGAAAATCAGTTACACATTTTAAACCCTTAAAAATATCCCTACTGCAAATGAGAAAATAATTCTTCTGGCTATTGATGTGTGTAGAAACAATCAAAATCATGAAGCATTCCGAATAGAACATAAATAGCTCTACAACTGTTTTTTTCTAATGATATCAGGCAGTGAATTCTTTCATGATGTTTTCTATCCTTTGTGCTTCCTCATCCCTTGCAAGTCTCCTACTTCTGAAGAATGAACATTCTAAAGGTAAAGTTTTCATAATTATCATAACTATGATCCCAATAGTTAATTTTTCAGGAAGTTGATGTCAATTTTAATCCATCCATCTTTTTCAACAATAAATTTTAAGTACCAGCTCTATAAAACCTAGAAGATAGTTTTTTACCACTCTAAAGGAAGACCTGTATATTTCTTGTCTGATGGTTTTATATCTTAAATAACACTATAAATAGTTCACATAAGAAGTTGTACTTAGAGATTATCACAATTTTTATGTTACTTGAGTGAATAGTAAGACAGTTTATCCAGTCATATTTCTATGGCAAACTGTCTCTAAAGCCTTACTGAACTAGTAATGCCCTATATAATCACATTTGAAGACGCTGGTACTTCAAAAAAAATTCAGAAGCATCAATGAAATAAAATCTATTTCTAAATATCAAATGAGGAAAATTATACTAAGGCTAGAAATGTGTTTAAAATAGATAGATACATGGGTAGATATATGGTAGTTAGTAGATAGATAGAGATAGAAATTATCCTGTATTCTTCATAAAACATTTATATATGGAAAATAAAGCTATTTTCAGTAGAGTTTTATATAAATGCTAGTTGAAATAAGTCACTTAAGTATAAAGGTGGTTGCACTCAGTACATCATTAACACTGAAATACTTAATCTGGGTAATACATAAAGTTGGAAGTATTGGGAATAAATCTTAAGATCTTCATCATTGCTGCTACAATTTATATTCCAATATATATTTTAAATTCTGTATACAAAGCGAAAAATTTTTAAATCTTTTTTCTTATATACTACTTAAAATTTTTCATCTAATTAAGAAGTTATGTTGTTTTCAAAAATAAAAGACACCTACTCTTCAAACATATATGTATTTTCAATAAACCATAGGTAAAAGTCATGCTCAGTCGTACTTTACATTATAAATCAAACAGGCAGGTGATGAGACATAAATTAAAGGATAAAAGGTTTCATCTTTTGCTTGATCTTCTCTGACTGATAAACCTATTTTATCTCTTAGAAGGTAACTTAATGCAGTAAATCAAAACGTACTGCTTTTTCATAATCTCCCAATCCATTTATATGTTTTTGAAAGCTTAACTCAGTTGAAATATATTTAAGTCAAAACCTAATAACTAAATGTTACGATGTTGGAAGAAAATTAACTACCTTAGCTGTATCAGAGTAAGTTCTTGAGGAGATAGAATGAAAATACAAATAGAGCAGAAAGTGCACTGTGAACATGAAATAAGTACAGGCACTTGGTGATTGCCCAGCTTCAACCACAATCATGAGGCTTAGGTTGACTATAGATATACACTTAACAGATATAAACACACTAATGCAGATGCATTAACAGATATACATACACTATTCACAGATATCCATTTTTTGGCCATGAAATTTTTAAAACAAGTTTAGTATTTTGGATTAAATTGTCTTCCAAAATTTTTTAATGTAGCACATCAGCACTGCCAATATCAAGAGTCTTTGTACTTCTGATTGTCGAGGTTGTACTTAAAGCTGACTGCCCCCAGCCCTCTTTGGGTTTTCCTCTCTTGGAAGACCCCCTCCAAGCCGCTCTGGCTGGAGGTCCTTGATTCTAATACATACTTTAAAAAAAGAAAATAGTCTTTGTACTAAGTGACTATGTATGTATGTGTCTTATCCTGTATGTTTTCCCCCTATAAACACAAACTCATTTTTGATAGTGTTATCTGATTTTGCCACTCATCTAAACTTATCTCAGTACTGTATGGAGAAAATATGGAGCACTTTTTAAAGTTTTAAAATAGTAATCATTTTTATATGCATATATCAATACTTTATTAATTTACAGAAAAAATCTATAAACCCATCTGGTTTCTCTGAGGATAATATCAAATAAGCAATGATCATATTATACCCACTTCTAACTTATTTTACTAAAGTAACACTGCTGTTACTAGCTGATTTTTAAGTTGTCAATAAGTGTTATTTGAGGGATTTAACACCTTTAACAGTGATGAGGAATTAGTAAATTCTGGAAATATGACAGAAAACTTTCCACATCTTGCACTGAAGCCTTTTGCTCCTGCCAGTGTGAAAGGTCATAAATTTAGAATGAGATAAATTTAGAAAAACAATCCATAATCATTTAATCTGTGTGGCAACAGGCTGTATAAAATCAGTTCCTTCAGGAAGGAACTCTTTATAATATTGGGAGTTCCAAGCCTTCCTTGATATTACATGAATATAAAGGAAATACAGTTTCAAAAGGCATAGGTAAGTATTATTGTACAGGCATTATCTGATGATTTAGAAAACAGTAATATTTTACAAACATGTGTGCTCACTGGAAAGTATATTTAAATCAAAGGGTTACTAATAATATATGTTTCAGAGTTATCTTGCTTGTTCTCTAAGTTCCTTAAAATGTTTGGTGTGTAGCTCTAACTTTCCCATTGCTAAATAATAACATTAAAATAAGACCTAATTGGGTCCTTCCAGACTATTCCAGCTCAGCTTGCAACAGCAAGATACAATGATAGGAGAAAGAGACAGAAGAGATGAGCAGACTAGATTCAAACACCAGCTCTTTCCTCAGAGTGCAAAAAATGCTAACGTTGCTTAAGCTGTTTCTGCTGTCTGTAAAATGGGCAGTTCATTTTTCTTATTAATTTTAAAACTTTTTGTCAGATGCATGTCTGCCTATAAAGTTTTAAAAGTTATTTAGGAAGGCACATTCTATTAGCATTGTTACCATACTTACTAATGTACAGATACAAAAAAGGTAACTTTTGAACATCTTTGGATCTAAAAGTATGATTAATGTGCTAAGTCACAACAGTTCTAAATGCCACAGAATTCTTGGGAAGGAGGAAGCCTGATTCACGAGACCTACTACCAAAAGTTTTATTAACTTTTCTCTTTCAATTTCAGAGGCAATAAAGTACTTTAAGAAGAATTATATCAACTGATCTGAACTTTGTAAAACATAAATCCAGCTGTGTTCAATTAGTACAAGGTATCCTAATGGAGAATGTTTGCTTACTTTGTACATGTTTGTATACTCTTCTACACCATAACACAGTGTTGGACTTGTGTGATGGCAGAAGGCGTTGTTTTACATGGGGCAGGCAATGGTCACAAAATATAACCACAGGACCTGCTGATAGTTCTCACATGAATGACTCACACCAGACTCTTAATTTTACAAGGAACTATTTTTAAAATGCTGTATGAAAGAAAATAAGAGCTTAAATAATAAAGGCTTCTACCATTATAATTCAGTCACATTTAAGTTACCAAGAAAGTTATTCTCAAAGCTAACACAAAATCCAGTGTCACTTGTAAACTGATCTCCATATACATTTTTTTTTTGCATTCTCAGGATTAAATTGGGACAAATGAGTGAACTATGTGTTCTAGAACCGTTTTCCACTGCTCCATCTGCTGGATATGTCTCCTGCACCAAGTGGTAACCTCCAAAAAGTAGTATGAACTAATTCAGCAGGTGGCTTCAAAAGGCTCACGCATGTTGTTTGGGAAACTTGCTACGAGTTTCTTAAATTTTTGATTCACTATCAAGTCCTACCTCACCATCAAAAATACACTCAGAGTCCCTATTAATCACTAGCAGAGTAAGGCACGGAAAATAGCGCTCCACAGTAGGTGATCTATTACAAAGCAGAAGGGACTATGCTCTTCAAGGCAGGTTTGCATACTGCTCCGGGCGCACCGATTTGCTCGGCCTTCCTCTGAGAAGCCCCAGTCATTCAGCTAATCTAGAAATGGAAATCGTATGCATAAAAGTTTGAAAGAGATTTGTAAGCACGCATGGCAGTAAGCACACAAATATCACAAAAGGAAACCATGCCTCTCCAAGCACGATTTACCCAGCGGTCGGAGAGCCCTTAGCTTTTTCCTCCGCAGCGTCTTTTCAGGCAGCTCGCGTCGCGCTCCGGGATGAGGCAGCCTCACTTCTCCTCCTTCTCCCAGTCACAGACGGGACAGCGTGCAGCTGCCGCCACCAGCCAGGCCGCTGTCAGCGCCGCCGCCGCCGCCGCTTCAGAACCGTGGCTGCTACTGCAAAGAAAGGGTTACTCCTCTGCTGGAGTCAAGTGGCTGCAAACTTCCCCTGCTCTGCGTGTACAATTTTCCGCAAACTTGCACGTCGTTGCGTGCACAAGGACCGAGGAAAACCATTGCAAGCATCACACGGACCAGCACCACAAAGGACACTCCCGGAAGGTAAGACCTGCGAGTTATTCAGAAACGCGGTTTTAATCCAGATGGGAAGCACCGCCGCCAGCGGAGCCTCCCCCTGCTCGGTTCCCTTCAGCCAACGGCGCCCACGCTGCCAGGCAGGGCGGCTGCGGATGCCGCGGGCTGGTGTGAGATAGAGGGAAACTTTGACAAATGAGGACCGCTCCTGGAAGGGGCAGAATCTGGGCAGCCAGCAACGCGCGCGGGCTGCGCGCGGGGAGCGGCGAGCAGGGGAAAGTGCCACGTACCTTTTCTGCAGTTGCCAGCCGCGGCGGCAGAGGCGAGCCCGGTGAGGCGGCGGGGCGAGCGTCCAGCCCTGGCCGCGGGCTCCCTCCCGGGGTGAGCGGAGCCGCTGCGGCCGCGACGCGCGGGCGCAGGGCCGAGCGGCCGCTGAGACGCCAAGGGCGCCGGGCAGCGCCAGTCACTTGGCCCACAGAAGTTGGGCAGCTTCGGCCGCGGCCTCGGCCACCGGCGCGAGCAACACGTTTAGTTTGAACTTTCCAGCTCCAGTCCCGGCAAATACACACTCACGCACACACACGCGCGCGCCGAGAGCCTCTCAGAGGCGAGCGAACAGGCACCGGTGGCTCTCTGGCCGCGTCTTTCTCTCTCCCTCGCTCTTATTGGCGCGGAGGTTATTGTTTTATTTATTTATTTCCTCCTCCTGGCTCCGTCCCTCCTCCCCACGCCCCCTCCCTGGCTTCCCCTCCTCCTCCTCCACCTCCTCCTCCTCCTCCTCCTCGCCCGAGTCTGGGAGGCCGACAGTCGCCACCGCTCCAGCTGCAGCGTGGCGGGGCCGCCCGCGCGCGGCTGGCGGGGGTTGCGGCGCTTCCCGGTGGGGGCGCGGGGGGCTCCCTCGAGGGGGCCGGGGAGTCGGGCGGGGTGGAGCAGGGGAGTGCGAGGATGCGTGTGGCTGCGTGCCGAGGCTGAGGGGACGCGTGTCAGTGGAGGCGAGGGGCGGACACTCCCGGCTCCGGGACTGCGCAGCACTCAGCCCGCTGGCTGCGGCGGGGGAGAAGCGCGGCGACTCTTGCGGGGGACACCTCCCGGCTCTGGCCGAGAAACTGCGCGAGGGGCCGCCGCCTCTGTCAGCCTCAGCCCGACAGGCCAGGAGGCTCGGCCCAGCCCTCCGCACCGCCTTTGCCGCCCGCTGCCTTCCCTGACCTCCCTTCTGAGTGAAGCTCCCCCGAACCCCGCCGGGACTCAAGGATGCGCGCCGCCACCTTTTAGCCGCGGAGGACGCGAGTTGGCATCTTTTTATTGTGGGGTGTGCGTGTGTGTGTGTGTGTGTGTGTGTGGAAGTGCTGCAGTTAGGTTTCCTCCCCGCCCGACCCCGAGGAAAGGTGCAGTCCAGCCCCGGTGCGGCACAGCGGCTGGGCGGGCCTAACCCTTCTAGGAAATGCGGGAGGTGGCTTCAGCGCGCGGACCCGGACTCCCGCATTACGATCCAGGGCGACCTGCGGGAGCCGGAGCGGCACAGCCTTCTCTCTGCTGCCGTTCGCACCCAGAACGCGCTCTCGAAAGGCAATTGACCGAGGGTACCCCTGTCTCTGGTCGCACTCAGCACCTTCCCAAACCTGCGGGAGAGATGACCTTAGAGGCGGCCGCCCCTCCCCACCCCTCTCCACCTGAGAGCCGAGATGCCAGGAACCCAGTTGAGACCTAAGGAAATCGTTTTGCCCTTGCCTCCTCCCGACCCCACTTCGGAACGGCATTTCAAATGCAACCCCCTTCCTGGCTTCCCATTAGGTAAACCTATTCTGTTTTTGTTCATTTTCTGGATTTTGTTTTGGTGATTTTTTTTTCCTGGGGATTCATTATTTCAGTCGCAGAAAAGGGGAAATATCTAAAGGAAGTCATTCTAGATGCAAACACAGCAAGTAAACTAAGCACCATGTCAGAAGCTGGGATGCAAGCCTCACCCCTTTGATTTGGAAACAGGGTTCCTTCAGTCAGCATTTTGCCTTCGTATTGCTAACCATCTTGGGTTGGATTTTACAAGGACTCCGCATATAGAAACACTGACTCGAGTGCTTGCTATTATCTCCTCTGACAGGCACTGATAGGTACACTTTTTTCTGTCCAAGGATATCTTCTACTTTCTCTGAAATTCATATGTTAGGTATTCGTTTCTCAGTGCTTTCCTCATTTTTTTTTTTCAGGAATTCTATGTTAGGTGTACAAATACTCATTAAAGAGCTGGTATTTTACCTACTTTACATTTTCATTGACATCCCGAGTAAGCCCCCCAGAGGTCAGACGCGGAACAGGTGAAATCTGCCATGAGCCAAGGGGGGAAAAAAAAAAGATTTCTCCTTTCAGCCTGTGAGAATTGTTCTCCTGGGCTACCTTAATGTGTATTGGCCATTTTCAAGGAAGATGAGAGGGAAATGCCCCTGTCAGGACCTGCCGCTCCTCCCTTGCTTCGGAAGCACTAGCTTCTCGCTGAGGGAAGGAGCCAGCCTCCCTTAGTAGATTTTAAGAACCATCTACTAAATGAAAGAATCCAGAGCTAATCTCCAAAAGGCAGGAAAGTGCCTCATTGGACCTTTGATTGGCGGACATCAGAGTGTTCCCCTTTGTAATGGCTTCAGCGCCAGTGAGATAGAGCTTTACTCACAATCCGAAAGGAGCACCTGTAATTCTCAGCCCAGGACTCTGGAAGCATATGTATTTCTCCAGAATTCTCCCCTGCTTCAGAGGTAGCCAAGCTCCACCATGGAATACCTGTCTGACATGGATCCTCCCTCTGAGGAATGTATATGCGTGTGTGTATGTGTGTGTGTGTGTTCTCCCTGATAGTCCTGAACAACAATTACAGTGGTGTTCTTTTCCAAGGTTTTGCTTGGAATACTACTATTCTTATCTCTCCTTCTCTACCTACCCCACAGACATGGCCTCAGTATGCTTCTACTCTCCGAAGTCCAGAGGTAACAGAGGTCACAGGGAGCTGCAGTCCACATCATAATGACTACATTCATTCCTACTAGGAAAACACACATTTGGCATTGAAAATGACATTGACTCTGGATCAAGTTAAAACACCATAATCCAAGAGATTAAATGGAAAAAAGAATGATTTATCCATCATAGTAAATATTTAAGTGTTTAAAATGTCTGTTCTCCATATATGCTTCAATGATGATGTTCATATTTGCATGCACTGCGTAGCCTAAGGTCTCATTGATAGAAATTCCAAAAGTATGTGTAGAATGAATTAAAATTACAAAGGGTATGGGTGAATTTTTATTTACTAAGGGTCACTGAATCATCAGAACATAATATTAAATGTTACATAGATATTAAAGAATAACAGCGCTTTATTAAGTTATTTTGAAAAACACCAAAAATCTTTTATCCTTATATAAAATACAAAAATATAAAATTGCATTAAATTGATTAAATTAATTATAAGCTATTCAATTTCTTATGTGGGCAAGGAAAATGAAAATAGATAGATGTGACAGAAAGGGGGAAAGAGTACACAAGAAAATAAAGATCTGAAAAGTAGGGAAAGAAGGTGATATGGTGGCAGAGGTGGCGTGAAAACAACGTGAAAACATGGAGAGGAAGAAAGGCAGCAGAATGCCTTTATTTCTGGCTGAGAACATCAACAATCCTCAGAAAATTTGTTCTGAACTCTGTACTAAAGACACTGAGTTTATGGAAATTTGTCCAAGCAAATGGGTTGCTTGCTTCACCACTAATAGTACTTTGCCAAACAGTAGAGTGACACCAGAGCAGTGATACTACCACAACCAAGAATGTTTCCCAGTTTTTATAGATACCATGATTATAATTTTATTTGTTGCAAATATTTGAATCTAATTTTTTTGATTTGTGAATGCACTTTGGCCAAGTACTTCCCTTTTATCCAGAATCCTTAATTGTAATTTACAACGGTGATTTACTTTTTTCTGTGTGTGCACATTTATGTGTATCAGACATGTTAACATCTAGTCTAATGATATGTACTCCTGTATTGATGAATAAATTATTATTGATGAGTAAATTCAAGGTCAAATCCAGAAAAGATTATTTTGATCCTGGTCTTAACAATGTGTAGCATTGCTGCTTTGATTTGAGCTCATACTACTTATACGTTAGAAAATGATTTTAAAAATCAGTTGAAAAATAAATTCCTGATATTTAACATATTTAATTTCTTCTTCGTCATTTATCATTATTGGCAGTAGAAAAATCCATATTATATTATAACATTATATTACACATACATATTTATAGAGAGAGGATGCATATATGTGCTCATCTTGGGTGCATATTTGCACATTATAAAGTTAAGATTCTCTCTCTTACTCGCCTACGATCACCTTACCTATCTACGTTGAGAAAAATATTTCTTGTCCCTGTGTACCTTCTACCTCCATCTCAATTTCAGCTCTCTCCTCCCGGGCTCTGACATTTTTAATGAGTACATTGAGGACATTGGGGTAAAGATCAAGGAGCCTTTGGACACACTGTTCAATTATAGCTCAAGCAGGGAAAGAAGAAGGGCAATGGATTAGCTAATGGGGAATTGAAGGTTGTAAAAATTCTAGGCATTAAGAAAGCTAATTTTCCAGAAGGATCAATGCAATTTCTCTTTATCTGTGTGAAGACAAACCGGAACTGTGTGCCAAGTGTGGCTGTTTTTAATCCTGTAGATATGAGTTCTTGAATATTCCCAGAGGTCACATATGTCCAGAAGTTCTGGCCTCATCTTCACTAATGTCTTCTTTCTTTTTTTTCTTCTTATCTCACAAACTGGATTCATTTGATTCTTCATTCCCAAGTTTCTTTCTTCCCTTTCAGACCCTTGCAAATATAGTCCTTCTGCTTAGATCACACCCTTTTCCTGTACACATCCACCTAAGTAATTTCACACACAGTTCCATGCTAGAATGGTTCTCGGTCCATTTCATTTGTTTTCATAGTTCCCTGTGTTTTTTTCTGACAAAATATACAAGGCAAATTGTAATTTCATACAGCTGAGATATTCAATGGATGTATGTTCTCAAATATATCCACAAGGGAAATCTTAATTGTGTTTTAGGCACTTAGTCAAAGAAAGAAAACTTGAATACAATTGAGAAGGTCCATCATATGGAGAATATACTACTGGAAAATTAAGATATGATAAGGTTAAAAAAAGACTATTTAATTTTATCCAAGTTGATTCTTGTTTCACAATTATAGGTATTTTTCAAATTTCTTAATGTAATTTTCAAAAATAAGATATTTTATTTCATCTCAACTTTAGAGTGAAGAAATGCCATTTAAAATATTTAACAAAATTCAATAAAATTATAAAGAAAAATATTAAAATGTAGTATTTTACTTTTTAATCAAGTAATTCTTCTCTGACAATTTTGTGATTTCTTCTTGTTTATGTTTTAATTTTTCTTCAATAATAAAAATATTCAGCTATGTTCTGAGTTGTAGTGTACTTAGAACAAAGTTGGAAATATATTGAAGAAATTTGTATTACTATTAATATAGAGTGAGTTGGGAAAAATGATTTCATAAAATTTAGAAAATAGCATACAATGATTTATTGTTAGATGCATATTATATTGCCACAGCAATTTCAAAAAAGAAAGGACCTAGGTGCCAGCATTGTGGTACAGGTTAAGCTGCCACCCACAAAGCCAACATCCCATTTGAGCACCGGTTCAAATCTGAGCAGGGCCACTTCTGATCTAGATGCCTGTTAATGTGCTTGGCCTAGACCCCTGCCACCCAAGAGGGAGACTTGGATTGAATTTGCCTTGGCCCAGTCTTTGCTGTTGTGGCCGTTTGGAGAGTGAATCAGCAGGTGGAAAATCTCTCTCCCTCTCTCTCTCTAACTCTGTCTTTCAAATAAATAAGTAAATCTTAAAAAAAAGAAAAGAAAAGAAAAGAAAAAGCCTAATGTTTACTGATTTCAGAAGGATCCATACAAATGATATGATAGAAATTAATGGAATAAATTATAAAAAGTGCCTTTTAAAATCAGAAATTTGGAGGCAGGCATTTGGCCTAGCAGTTAAGACCTGGTTTGGGATACGCATGCCTTAAATCAGAGTGCCTGAGTTTTAGTCCTAGCTGTGCTCCCAATTCCAGCTTCCTGCAGGTGATTAACCTAGGATGTAATAAGCACAGCCCAAGTGGTTGTTTGTGTCCCTGCTTCCCACACAGAATTTTTAAGAATTCCAGACTCCTGGGATTCAGCATGGATCAGCACGTGACTGTTGCATGCATTTGGGGAGCAAATAGAGGCTCCCACTCTTTCTCTCTCTCTCCCTTCTCTCCAAGGAAGCAATTAAACATTTCTTTAAAACTCAGAAATTTTCACACAGGTCAATGGAAGAATGGCATTTAGGATAGGGTTAAGATGCAAAATAGTAGTTCAAAGAGGTCTGTTAAAATACTGCCCTAGTTGAAAGAGAGGCCTGTGTTCCAAATTGCCACTTTTCTTTGATAGCTGCAATTTAAAATCTGATGTAGTGTGAATGTTGTAGCTGAGGATAATGTGGCATTAAACAGGAGTTAAAACCTGAAGTTTAAATCATTTCAGATATTCTTGAGTTGACAATTCAGGGAGTTAGTGGTATTTTTCTCACTAAAGATGCCTAAAAAGTCCTGTTCTCAAATACAATTTACAAACAGAAAAATTCGCGAATATTCACACATGAAGAGGGCATCAGTATACTTAATAAAATTATTTAATTCTGGTTTTCTCTGATTTGAGTCTATATCGCTTCTGGGTGTATTTTATTAGCTTGTCTTTTCTTGGAGCAGATGTTGTGACTCGGCTGGTTAAGCTGCCAGTTGGGCTACCTGAATCCCATGTTGGAGTGCCTGAGGTCAAGTCCCACTTTTACTTACTTCCCCAGTCACACTTCTTGCCAGGATGCTCTCTGGGAGGCAACAGATGACTCAACTACTAGCCACCTTGAGAAACCTGGATGGAGTTCCGAGTTCCTGGTTTCTGCCTGGCCTCTGCCTGGCCCAGCTCTGGCTGTTGAAAGCATTTGGAAATTGAACTAGTGGATGGAAGATGTCGCTCTCTCTTTCTCTCTTTCCCTCTACTATTCTGTCTTTCAAATAAATAAAACCTTATAAAAACTATCTTCTCTTCCTGAAATTTTTGTTTATTTCTTTGAAAGTCAGTAGGTAGAGACTGAGAGAAAAAGAGATTTCACATTTGCTAGTTCACTTCCCAAATGCCTGCGATCGCCAGGGCTGGACCAGGCTTAACACAGGAGCCATGAACTCAACCCAGGAACCCATTGACATGAGACATCATTTGCTCCCCATCCCCCCAGGGTTTGCATTAGCAGGAAACTGGAATTGAGAGCAGGGCTGGAACTTGGACCCAGGGACTCTCAAATAGGATGCAGAAATCTCAAGTAGAGGTTGACCCACTATGCCAATCATCCACCCTGAATATGTTTTGAATACTATATTTATCATAATATTATTTAAACATTATTTCTCCCTTGTATGTGGTGATATTTTATTTAGCAAAAAATAGGGGAAATTTCAAAATGTTCTCTTTTGTTGATAGAAGGATCAAACAGGCTAATGTTAAACATGCCAGGAGCCAACCAGTGTGTGAAATTTTTCAAAGCTTTAGGGATAACCTTTCAAATATTATTTTTAATAGTTATTACTCCTAAAATAATATATCAGCATAAAATTCTGAAAACTCTGAATGAGTTCTGAAGAGACAAATCAAAGTCAATGAAGACTTGGAATACCAATAGTGGATTCCATTATCCAGAAATCCCCCCAGAGTTTTCATCTAGTAACTGAATGTCATTCTAACCTATCACAATGAGTTTTGAAGTTTGAGAAGAAACGGAAGAAGAAAATAAGGAAATTTTACTTTATACTCTTTTGTCCTAGTCCTTCTAAGTTGTCATAACAAAAATGCCATAAACTTTGTGGCTTATGAACAACAAACATTTCTTTTTCACAGTTCTGGAGGCAGGGAAGTCCAAGATCAAGGAACGAACAGATTGGTTATCCTGTGGGGGTCCTTTCCTCACGGACAGTGCCTTTTCCTGCGTCCCCCATATGGAAGAGGCAAAGAAGCTCCCTCAGCTAATTTTCTAAGGGCATTAATCCCATTCAGGAAGATTTTTGCCCTCGTGAACTAATCATTTTAGAAAACTTCCATCTCTGAACCCTTTGATACTGAGAGTTAAGTTTCAGCGCATGTATGGGGGAGGGGCAATGCACACCTGCAGACAATAGAATCTATGAAGAAAACACTGAAATCGTCTAGGGCTAGCACAAATATGAGGTGAGTATACCACTCTCATCAGGCACACACTTTAGTTGACTTGAAGGAGGGATAACCCAATAATTAGGTAGTATTTAAACCCTGCATTTTAAAAATTGTGGTAAAATATACGTAGCATATCCTTAACTATTTTAACCATTTTAAAATGTATTGTCCAATGACATTAACTGCATTCATATTGACATACAATGTTCACCAACTCCCATCTCCAGACATTTTCATCTTCACAAACTGAAACTGTGTATCCATCCAAGAATGATGTGCCAATTCCTCCCTTCCCTCAGCTCCCAGACACCACTATTCTAGTCTATGAATTAGACTACTCTAGAAAACACACAAATGTAATCATACAATTTTGTCATTTTGTGACTGGCTTATTTCACTTAATGTAGTTGCTTCAAGGTTCATTTGTGTTGCAGCATGTTCAAATTTTTTCTGCTTTTCATAACTCACTTATTGAAAGGTAGAATGACACAGAGTGCAGGGGTGGGGAGAGACTTGTTGATTCACTCCCCAGTGACCACAAAAGTTGGGTCTGGGCCAGATGGAAGCCAGGAACCAGGGACTCCAATCTGTGTCTCCTGTGTAGGTGGTAGGATTCCAAGCGCATGAGCTGTCATCTTCAGCTTCCCGTGCACATTAGCTGGACCTGGACTGGAAGTAGAGGCATTATCAATCCCAGGGACTCTCCTTCCTTGTAATGGGTGAATAACACAAAGGATTGAATGTATATACCACATTTTGTTTATCCAAATTGATGAATCCTTGAGTCGTTTTTACCTTTTCTGCATCTTAACTACTGTGACTAGTGCTTCAGCGAACATTCACATAAGTATTTAAGTCTTTGTTGTCAGTTTTTGTTATATG